TGTCCCCTCCCATAGCTTCTTGTTCTTGTCTGCGTCCCCACGGCAGGCACACGTAAAGCTAGACACGTTCACCCTGCTCCTTCTGCTCCACCGAAGGACCTCAGGGCAGCCACCTTCCCGCAGTGCTTAGCAGACTGACAGCCCATGCGTGGGTAACAGAGCTGTGCACTGTGTTCAAGCCCCCTTTCCACGCAGACCTGCGATAGGGTACAGCTTTGTTCCTGCTCAGGCAGGTTTCCGGATGAAGCTCTCAGAAGGGCATGGTGGCCAATAAGGACAGGAAAAGGACTAAGAAACTTTAGACCAAGGTGGAGATGTTATCCTTCTCTTCAGCGATTTAGGTAAGAAATGGAAAACCAGACAATTCTGAGCTGGCATGGCTGGCCAGGCTGAGCGTGCTAAGGGCAGCTCCAAGAGCATCTCTTCTGCTCAGCACCTATTGCACGACCTCCTCTTTCCTCGTGGCTGTTTACCAGGCCAGTCATTTTGACCTCCATGAGGTCTGAAACCAGATTAAGGATTTAGAGATACTTTCTTGGGTGACATCCTAGCTCATAAATGCCAAACAGCACTGGTGTGACTTTCATGGAGTTCCAAAGAGACACAGCTCTCGGGTGTGCACCTGGGTATTAATTGATTTCGATTTTATTATTAATGAGCCTATGATTTGGTCTAGTTGACCTTCAAATTCAAATTAGGTACTGATTAAATAATAAGGCAGATGAATCCGGATGTGTTTGCACAACATTCTTTCCACCCGCCCCCAAGTAAGGTGTCTTGGAGAGGGTGAGGATGACATATGGAAGAGACGGAGACAGCCAGAAGAGAGTGCTCTGAGACCAAGGAGACACCTACACACTGAGCAGCAGCATTGGCTCTCCAGAAGTTCAGCCAGAGCACTAACTATTTGTGCATTTGACTCTCGTGCTTTGTGGACTTTCACCTGATTGCTTTCATGTTTGTTAACTCAAATAGAATTTGTTTTTCAAAATCTAAAGCATAAAATCCTCAGCTGGGCATGGTGGTGCACACCTGTGATCCCAGCACTCAGGGAGGCAGAGGCAGGTGGATCGCTATGAGTTCCAGGCCAGCCTGGTCTACAAAGCAAGTCCAGGACAGCCAAGACTGCAAAGAGAAACCCTGTCTCCAAAAAACAAAACAAAAAATCCTTTAAAAAGAGCATTCATAATAGTAAAGGGAAAATTTTCTCAACAGATAAGTTCTTGTTGTATTTTACAAGTAACGTCAGGACGCGTATCAAATGCCATGGTGTTTCCCAGGCGGCTTTACCTTGAAGCTAATGTCACCTCAGTCCTGGCTCTCAGATCTACGCTGTGCGGATGAGGCATTCGTTAGCATTCCTCCTCCTCATTTCTCATCCTCTCAACTCCACTCCCACCCCCTCCACAGCTGAGATGACTCAGTGTGAACGGAGTCTTCAGAGTCTGGATTGTAGTCTACGGAGACCTGTTAGCATAATCTGTGCCTCGCCACAGCAGTTGCAGTAAGCAGTTACGTGGGGTAAGTGGGCAAAAACACTCAGACTCCATTCCCAGTGGGAAGGACTTCTACGGTGCTTAAAGAGAATCACTAGCGTAGACAACACTTAGGTTCTAACACTTCTTGAGAATTTTTTTCAACTTTCACGTAACTATGTTTTTTTTTTTAATCCCTTCTGTTCCAGAAATGAAGACAGTCACCTCATTTTACTTGCTTGCTTTCAACTTCCACATTCTAGAAGATGCTAATTTCCAGTGAAGAGGAAAATCTTAACAAATGTAAACCCAGGCAACCGACAAGCAAAGCTGTAAATTGTGAGCATGGCACAGACACCCTGGGAGTCATTCTGGAAGGAGAGCCTGGCAATTCCAGACCGTGGGCGATTGAGTCCAAGACTCAAGAAGATGTTCCTTTAGGAGTGAAGTCTCAAAAGAGTCAAGAGAACAGGGTTCCTTCAGGACCTCTGATCAGCAGAAACTGTGCTGCCGCCGCTTACATTGGAGAGTGGCATAAGCATTCCTATACGTGACCTTATGACTGTGCAGTTCTGAAATAGCCCTGGTGTCACCGAGGACAGATATTTCTGCATGAAAGCTAATGACAGAAAAGGTTGGAAATGAATCCTGAACACTTAGGACTTCCTTTTAACCTCAACTTGACCTCAATCTTGGATGATTTCAATGGAAAATTCTTTTTTCTTAATTCTGATCTGTGCATCTGTCAATCTTGATGCCAGGCTGGCAAGCACCAGAGACCGCCCTCTGAATGGATAATCCATTTAAGAACGGTGTCCGTATAGGAACGCTAGTTGAGAAGATAAAGGCGAAATCCTCACCCTCTATGTTTGCTAATTGAAGCCAGATTACATGCTAACAAAACATGTGTTTTTCCAAGTAAAAAAGTTAATTGAAATTAACAATTTATTTCAACAAACTCCCTAACTCTTCACATTTAGTTTCATAAGGGAACTACATTTGTGATACATGACAACTCTTTGATGAAGTTAGCACCATTAAAAGTCTTATTTTTATGAAAAAAAAATTCCTAAAAGTATTCTGAAAAAATAATTGATCCTTGCGTGAGCAATTAACGGTGTGAGATCCTAAAAGCATCAAGAATATCACAAGCAGCGTGTTTTATGAAGGTGTGATATCGCCGAGCTAAACAACACAACAGCAAGAAATCTCAGCTTGAAGCATTCAAATTAGATTGTTCCTGTCTTACTTCTTAGACTCTGCATTCAACCTCATGATGCTTTTACATTTTTATGACAAGCTAAATGATTGAGATGTTCTTTGTTGATTTTTTTGCTTAAAATAAGTACCATTTCCTATCTTTCCTCTTTCATGATCAATATATCTCTATGTAAAATGACTGAGTGTTTCTCAAGAAACCACTGAGAAACTCTGACACAAATTACATTTTTACATTTGTCAAATATTTTTGAAATAAGAGATACCTGAACATACAATTATATAGCATGAAGGGAAGTGTCATTTGAAAAATGGCAATAAACAACAACAAAAAGAGATCAGTTGTATGGTGGACACTGTTGGTCCACTCAGATCTCCTTTGGGAAGAAACAGTTATTTTCCCGGGTACCCACAGACATCATGCCTTTCTGGCTTTTACAATTACATCAATAGATAGGGCCTGTTCTACCCAAGAGCGCACACATCCCTTCCCAGGAGAGCCAGCACCAGAATCTATGGCAGGCTGCCCCTGCCCTTGGTGGTTCTCTAATTCAGCTGGGATCCATCTCTTCTGACAGTGCATTGGAACTTCCCATCAGCTGGTCCTGTGTCCTTCCCTTTTCCATCAAAGGAGTTGATTTCTAGAGCTCTCTTTGATAAACAAGTCACTTCTGAATAATCTATTGTGGTCTGTCTTCTGGAAAGTCTGATCTATATGAGGGCCAGAGAAACAGCAAGGACACTGACCTGTGCTGCGGTATTGTGTGTGGTAGACCTTATCTTCTGAGCATGGGTGTTTGAATGCGTTGTGTGCGTGTATGTGTGTGCACGCGCATGCACACACAGGTAGGTGTGTGGCGACCAGAGGCGGTCCCTGAGCTCCCACCTCTACCGTAGAGTCTCTCACCAAGTCTGGAGCTTGCCTGGCAGACAGCAAGCCTCTGATCTGCTGTCCTCAAATTCCAGCGCTGGGGTTACAGGTGTGCCTGTCACTGGGACCTAGCAGGGTTTTGTTTTTCATTATTTTTTAGTTTTTGAGACAGAGTCTCATCTAGCCCAGACTGGCTTCAGATTTGAAGTGTAGCTGATGCTGGCCTTGAACTCCTAATCTAGCCTCTGACTCCTAAGTGCTGTGGTTACAGGAATGGGCCGTCACTAGTGGCTTAGGTGCCATCTGAGCTCAGAACGTGCTTTTACGCATTGTTTCATGCTCCCAGCCTCGAGGTAGACATCACTCTTGTCCTCAATACAGAAGGAAAAATGGACTTACAAAGAAGTGCACCATGTTTTTTACTTGCTAATCACTTACTTGTTCGCTAACTTGAATTATCTGTCAAAGGTCAGCAAAGTCGCTGGTGGCAGAGCTAGGATCAAGTCCCAAGCAGATAAGCCAATTATGTCAACTGCTTTCAAGTACTTGTGATTAAACCAAAGACTCACCAGGCAATGAGATATGGAATTAAACATGCCATTAAGTGAGCATTAAAAATTGAAGACTCTTTTGAATTCCTCAACAGATTCAAAGAATAGCAAGTCATAGTGGCAGGGTGAACCCATTTTCACATCACACCAGATTGAAAAAATGGATTCAAACTACACTTAAGTTCCAGGTAGATGATATGGTTTATAAGGCACCCATTTGTTCAAATAAAATAGTCTAGTCAGGCAGTCACACAAATGGCAGGTATCAAATAGTTCTTATGGAGAGACCCCCCCAATCAGGAGGGAGTGGGGAGAAAGCTCTATTTCATTTTCCTTATTTTTTTTAAAAAGCAGTTTGCATCTCTGTTTCATGGCACTTATCTCTAAACAGTGAAAATTTCTCCCAATTATCTTCTTTTTGGTTTACTTGGGTTAGCAGCAACATTTTCTCTTAGTGATAGTCTGTGGAATTGTGGCCTTGCCTCAGGTTTGTTTTTACGGAGACCCTTCGAATATTTCTTTCTTGGGCCATAGGGCCTCTTGTAGGGGGTCCTCAATTCCATGTTTTCAGACTTATGCCCGATGAGTAATTATAAACAGCAGAATTGACAAATTGTTGCATTTCAGAAAAAAACATTTCTCTCTAACCACACTCTCTGCTCCTGCTCTTATTTTACAAACATCATTTTTAGAGGAACAAATGTAAATGCAGATATAAATTCTGAAGAGGTGTGATACGGAATTGAGATGAGTGGGAGGAGTCCTTGTGTTCAAAACAGAGATGCTTAGGAAAATTGCTTTTGCCTGCTGTATCAGTTTTCCATGTAAACAAACCCCGCTCTGTATACTTTGAAGGGTCTGTGAAATTTGGATGTGATCTCATACCTTCATCTTTATGGACTTCAGCTTTGTCTTCAGAAGCAGGGCTGGCCATGGTTGTGGTGTTGACACCATCTACAAAACAGGAAGAAATGCTTCAGGCTTAATACCTTCAGGCTGTGGCTTTTCCTCCAGTACAGTTTCCTCCCCCTCAGCCAATGAAGGTCAGACTCCTTCACACACCAAATGGCTTTACAGGGTCTGATCCATATTTTATAACCAATGAAGCATAAATCTTCACGTAAGGTGGAGGCCAGGACACTACAAAATGTCTTCTGGGGAAGACTTGTTTGTTGGCCACAGCAAGCCAACAACTCCCGGACATTTAGCGTTCTCCGTACTCAAAGAACGGAATAGCACTTTCCTCTGTGGTGTGTGGTAATAATATATCCGTGCAAGGCTCTACAGAGTGCCTTAATGCATGTGATCTTTAAAAAACATTGTTTCTGCTTAGTTGAGCATTTTATCCTCCTGGCTGCCCACTTGGACAGTGTGGTTCTCTGGCTGTCAGCACTGTGGTTCAGGAGAAGGGGACCACTCAAAGTAAGGCACCCAGAGACGTGAAGGCATTTCATGTTGCCCAGTGATGGAGAAGACTGTGTCCTCCCCATAGCACCATTTAAGGCCAGTCAGAGCAGATCTCTCCTACTGGGCTCATCAGAACCGTGGGAATTTGATTCATGTTTGGCCTCCACAATGCTAGCTAATTAGCTACTATCATTAAAAATGTAAAATTAGGTTGCATTAAAGTCATCCGACAACTGGTAAAACAATATACATATTTTCTTATAGTTATTCAGTCACAAGCTTAAAGATAGAATACACATTTTAAGGAAATTTTCTTACTTTCTACCATTTGTCTGTTATGCATGGTTGTTGTTCTAGGCTGCATCTCTATTAGAACAGAGAATAGCCTCTCTGGAAGAGAGCTAGAGGGGCCAGGGTGGGTCACTTTCTTTTGCCTTCATCTTATAAACAGGCACAGGCCATCAGCCTTCCTTACTGTCACGGCACTTTCCATCTCCTTGCAGAGCAAAGCCCCCTGAAAGAAGCTGTGGCTAGTGCCTTGGGCTATGGCTTCTGAAGCCCTGCAGAAGCCATGAGTGCTTTTCCAGCAGTCTTCCTAACTCCCTCATCTAAGGTCCTGAGTCCTTCCTTCGACCTCAGGACTGCTCCTTCGACCTCAGGACTGCTGTCTCCAGTGCTCCTGAATTGGTTTCTTTTCCTTCTTTTTCCTTGCCATCTTCCTGCCTCAACCTCACCACTTTCAAGCTCATTTCTCCCTGTCCATCTGACTTGACCTCTCAGTAGTATTTCCCAGTCCCCTCCCTATTCATTTGAAGACAAGTCATGGCCCAGCTGCTGCCGCCCTTCTTGACAGGGGTCTAGATGTCTATGGTGTCCCAACTCCTTTGCCTTTGACATTGCATATTCTTCTTACTAGATGATTCTTGTTTTAGTCCAGGCTTTAAATATCTCCTATATCACAGTGTCTCCCAAACCTGATCTGTGCTGTTCACCTCTCCCTAATGTGAATTTGCTTATCGAATGTGACATCCCATATGGCTGTCTAAACATAGTTTCAAAATTTACCAATGCAAAAGTGAAACGATTAACTTTTCCAACAGGCTGTCTTCCGTGGAGCAGTTAAGTGACACCGTTGCCCTGCATGACGCCTAAGCTGTATTCAAGGACCTAAGGGGACTCCTCTTTCCCCCACGCGCCCCACCCAGCCCTTCAGCTGTGTACCCTGCTGCTTCTTATTCCTAGAACATGCCGCATTTCAACCTTTTCGTTTCTATTTCCAGAATCCTCTGCCGCTGTTCCTGTACTCCTCTTCTAAGGCCACCTCTTTGACCCATTTTTACTCTCAGGCAAAATGAGTTCATTAATACATAGATCATTTATTCCAATATTTAAGGTCTTCCAGTAAGCCCTCCCTGCAGTAAAGCCAAACTGCATGCTGTCAGTCACAGTCTTACCAAGTACGCTTCTTACCAAGCCTCACACTCTTCCAGCTCTCCCCCCACCCCCGTTCAGTCATACCCCTCCCCCGTCGTGAAGCCAACTTATTGTCTGTTCCCTCTATCTAGAATGGTCTTCCACCATCTCAGCATTCAGGGCTTATTTTAGGTAGGACTTCCACAGTGAGCCCTCTATGGGTTACCCCGATTTCACCCTCTTTCCCCCTCTGTAAGCTACGTGAACCATCTGATATTATATCCTTTTCATTTGCTCATTGTTTGTATTCCTCTACTAGACTATCAGCTTCAAGGAGCCCCAGATGGCATTTTTGAACTAAATGCAGAGTTGGAAATGCGCGCACTGAGCTGGGGAGGCAGTCAGCCTTGACATAGACTCATTATTGATTTCTTGATAAATACTATAGGAATTGTACGTGATTTGATGGTGACAGCTGTCAGAATTTGTAAATTATGCTATTTTGAGGTTGTGTTTTTCCATTGTGTGGAAAAGGCCTGCAGAGTCATGCAGTCAACATTGGTACTGGAAACTACAGTGAATGAAAGCAAGATATTTTTATTTTGGAAAAGAACAGCAGGTCAAGGGGCTTTCACAATGGAAACCATGTCGTCAATTGTCTTCAGCTGTTCAGTTGCCTGATCCGGGGAGGCTGTGGGAGGGCAGTATGTCCCAGATGAGCGAGAGGAGCCGCTGAGAAGGGCAGGGGAGAGGCCATGGCCACCGGCAGGGAGGAGCCATATTGAGTAGTGATAGCCACAAAAGGAAAAAGAAACTTCAAGAACTCAGGGGGATTCAGGGGGAAAGGATGGAGGAGTAAAACATAAGCAGTGCTGTGTGTGTGTGTGTGTGTGTGTGTGTGTGTGTGTGTGTGTGTACAGTGATGGGAGAAAATCAATGTTGATAAGACAGCTTGGAACAGAACAATGAGTGAGTAAAACTCAGAAAATTTTAACAGTCAGACCAGGGCCTCAGCTGCTAGCAGCTGCCTGACCAATACAAGTCATCCCTATACAGGAAAAACAGTGACAGCTTCTCATGGAAACCCCATCTTCATCTTGTGCTGGTCCCACCCACCCTCCCTCTTCCCCACTATGCCCCTCCCCTAGTCCACTGATAGGGGAGGTCCTCTCTATCTGACCCTAGCCTTCAGGTCCCATTAGCACTGCCTGGTTCCTCTTTCTCTGTGGCCTACTTAGGCCACCTCGCCAGGGGGAGGTGATCAAAGAGCCAGCCACTGAGTCCATGTCAGAGACAGTCCCTGTTCCCATTACTAGGAAACCCTCTTGGACACTGAACTGCCATGGGCTACATCTGTGCAGGGGTTCTAGGTTATCTCCATGAATGGTCCTTGGTTGGAGTATCAGTCTCAGAAAAGACTCCTGAGCTCAGATTTTTTGGCTCTGTTGGCCTCCTGGTGGAGCTCCTGTCCCCTCCAGGTCTTTCTGTCTCTCCCTTCTTCCATAAGATTCCCTGCACTCTGCCCAAAGTTTGGCTATGAGTCTTAGCATCTGCTTCGATATCCTGAGGGGTAGAGTCTTTCAGAGGCTCTCTGTGGAGGGCTCCTGTCCTGTGGTTTCTTCTCCAGCTTCCAATGTCTGTCCTATTTTCCCTTCTAAGTGAGGATCAAGCCTCTTCCCTAGGGTCCTTTTTGTTCTTTAGCTTCTTTAGGACTGTAGATTTTAGTGTGTTTTCCTGTATTGTGGTACATTTACACAATGGAATACTGCTCAGCAATTAAAAACAAGGAAATCATGAAATTTGCAGGCAAATGGACGGAACTAGAAAAGACCATCCTGAGTGAGGTATCCCAGAGGCAGAAAGACACACATGGTATATACTCACTTATAAGTGGATATTAGCCTTATAATACAAGTTTTTTATCTTCCTTATAGCTGTTGGGAGCGAGAGGCTGGTCAGGCTCTATGGCTCTATCTACAATAGGCAGAGAAATAGCCAGGCACAGGGCTCTTCAAAATTAAATGCACAAGAAGATAAAATACCTCATTTAGTATGGAGAGAGACCCTTTTCTTCATTCTTTTCAAGTAGTTTTAATTTCACTTTTCTCCTCCTCTAAGTCTGCCCATTTTGACCTGATCTAAGTCATCCAAGCTCTGATGTAGTGCTTCCAATCTTGACCCACAGTTCTTAGCACCTTACTAAGCAATCTGTTATAACTGGAAGGAAATGGAGCTGGTAAGTGAAATGCTGCCATTCTCTATGAGAGCACAGTCAGCTCCGCTTCCAGAGCTAGAGAGAAGAAGGAACGCTGGGGTTAGTCAGGTAAAAAGGCATAAGCATTTTCAGGCAATAACATTGAGTAAAGTTGTTGTTCACCTCTGTGGATGAGGCCTAGGAGACTCCTCAAAAGAAACCTGAGCCCACCTGCTTCTTGGCTCTGCCCTTCCATTTCTTCCGCAGTTTGCTTTTCCTCCGGACCACATTCATCTTTCAAGAAAACCACAGGGGGAGAAAAAAAAAATCAAGTCAATTTATGAAATATCTCTTTATGGCTAATATGCAGCACTGAAATTAATTGCAACCAATGTAGCATAACTCCCCAGAAACAAGCAGAGAGATGAATGAGAGGCAGAGAGCAGAAGACTCTCCCACAAAAATAGGTGCATGCACACTCATGCCTTCTCCCGGGATTTGCTAGACATAAACAATACCGGAGTAAGCAATATTCACTCAGAGGTGCTGGAAACATCTCTTTTTCTGGCCAAAGATGCCAAACACACTTCACTTCTGACATTCTTCTTTTTTTTGGGGTGTGTGTGTGTGTGCCAGCTTTGGTGTAAAACATCTAGCTGCTCTTTTTAATTAATTAATTAATTAGTACTAATTAATTAGTACATTTTCTTTATTAATTATACTTTATTACCTTTGTATTCCCCCCCGTGATTCCCTCCCTCCTCCTGTCCCAATCCCTCCCTTCCTCCACCCTCTGCATGCATGCCCCTCCCCAAGTCCACTGATAAGGGAACTCTTTTTTTCCTTCCTTCTGATCCTAGTCAATTAGGTCTCATCAGGAGTGGCTGTATTGTCTTCTTCTGTGGCCTGGTAATGCTGCTTCCCTCTCAGGGGGAGGTAATTAAAGAGCAGGCCAATCAGTTCATGTCCCTGTTCCTATTACAATGGAACCCACTTGGATACTGAACTGCCATGGGCTACATCTGTGCAGGGGTCTTAGGCTATCTCCATGCATAGTCCTTGGTTGGAATATCAGTCTCAGGAAAGACCCCTGTGCTCAGATTTTTTGGTTCTGTTGCTCTCCTTGTGGAGTTCCTGTTCTCTCCAGATCTTACTGTTTCCCACTTCTTTCCTAAGATTTCCTGCACTCTGTCCAAAGGTTGCCCATAAGTCTCAGCATCTGCATTGATAGTCTGCAGGGCAGAGCTTTTCAGAGATCCTCTGTGTCAGGCTCCTGACTTGTTCCCTCTTTTCTCCTTCTTCTGATGTCCAGCCTCTTTGCCTTTCTAGATAGGAATTGAGCATTTTAGCAAGAGTCCTCCCTCTTGATTAGTTTCTTTAGGTGTACAGATTTTAGTAGGTTTATCCTATATTATATGTCTATATGAGTGAGTATATACCGTATGCATCTTTCTGCTTCTGGGACAGCTCACACAGGATGATCTTTTCCAGATCCCACCATTTACCTGCAAATTTCATGATTTCCTTGTTTTTAATTGCTGAGTAATATTCCATTGTGTAGATATACCACAATTTGTGCATCCATTGTTCAGTTGAGGGGCATCTGGGCTGTTTCCAGCTTCTGGCTATTACAAATAAGGCTGCTACAAACATGGTTGAGCAAATGTCCTTATCATGTACTTGAGCCTCTTTTGGGTATATGCCTAGGAGTGGTATGGCTGGACCTTGAGGAAGCGCTATTCCTAGTTGTCTGAGAAAGCGCCAGATTGCTTTCCAGAGTGGTTGTACCAGTTTACATTCCCACCAGCAGTGGAGGAGGGTTCCCATTTCTCCATAACCTCTCCAGCATGTGTTGTCTCTTGAATTTTTCATCTTGGCCATTCTGATAGGTGTAAGGTAAAATCTCAGGGTTGTTTTGATTTGCATTTCCCTGATGGCTAATGAGGTTGAGCATTTCTTTAAGTGTTTCTCTGCCATTCGATATTCCTCTGCAGAGAATTCTCTGTTTAGCTCTGTACGCCATTTTTAAATTGGATTACTTGATTTTTTGCTGTATAACTTCTTTAGTTCTTTATATATACTGGATATTAGCCCTCTGTCAGATATAGGGTTGGTGAAGATCCTTTCCCAATCTGTAGGCTGTCGTTTTGTTCTGAGGACAGTGTCCTTTGCTTTACAGAAGCTTTTCAGTTTCATGAGGTCCCATTTATTGATTGTTGCTCTTAGAGCCTGTGCTGTTGGTGTCTGTTCAGGAAGTTGTCTTCTGTGCCAATGAGTTCAAGGGTATTCTCCACTTTTTCTTCTAAGCGGTTTAGTGTGTCTGGTTTTATGTTGAGGTCTTTGATCCACTTGGACTTTAGTTTTGTGCAGGGTGATAAGTATGGATCTATTTGCATTTTTCTACATGTAGACATCCAGTTAGACCAGCACCATTTGTTGAAGATGATGTCTTTTTTCTATTGAATGGTTTTGACATCTTTGTCAAAAATCAGGTGTCCATAAGTGTGTGGATTTATGTCAGGGTCTTCTATTTGATTCCATTGATCCACCAGTCTGTTTCTATGCCAGTACCATGCAGTTTTTAGTATTGTTGCTCTATAGTACAGCTTGAGATCAGGGGTGGAGATACCTCCAGAAGATCTTTTATTTTAGAGGATTGTTTTAGCAATTCTGGGTTTCTTGTTGTTCCATATGAAGGTGAGAATTTTTCTTTCAAGGTCTGTAAAGAATTGTGTTGGTAATTTGATGGGAATCGCATTGAATCTGTAGATTGCTTTTGGTACTTCTGACCTTCTTTTCTGCTGTGAATCAAGTCACATGCTTAGTGGAAGGAGCTTGACTGATTTTCTGTGCCTTTTGTGTTTTTGTTAGGTATGTGCTTCTAAAATTTTTATTTTCATTTATCTTCTATATAATGATCTAACACATCAATGCTATGAATTGTTTTCGTCCTGAATTCATTATGTTGATCAATTGTATAACTTTGTAAAAAAAAGCGGGAGGGGGCAGTTGCAGTAGAGGATGCTACTTGCAATGAATTAATTTTTGGTCTTAAAAAATGTTCTATATCTGTGAATTTACGGGCAGATAAAATACACTCCCAAGGGCAAGTAAAGGCCTGAATTTGTAATTATTTTAGGGATATCTTCAAAACACTTTTGTGGGAAGGGAAATATAAATTATTACCTTATATGAAGACACAGGAACAGAACATAAAACATAGTTATATACAGAAAACTGAAAATCAGAAGTTAGCAATGTGAAGTACAAATGACCATAAGGCCTTCTCCCCAGCAGCAGCTGTCTCTTTTCTGTGTGAATGTAATCTGGGCTGTCTTGTTTGACCCAGGGGATAAGGCAGAAATCATGTCTTGACACAGCTGAGCTGCCCTCAGAAGGACAGTCCCTGCTTTCGCCTTTGGGAACAGTAGCCATAACTGCAATGCAGTCCAGGCTGCATTCCCCTGGATGGAGAGGGACATGGAATCAAGTGCTGAGGAGGCAGACACGTGAGGGAGACAGGGCAGCACCTCACTGTTCCCCCAGCTCCCTGTAGAATGCAGAATGGCTATCTCAGCCAATGTCACAGAACAGAAGAGTCACACAGCCCTCTCCATCCCTGTTCCGTAAGCAGATCTAAGCCACCAACATTTATTTGCTTAGTGGGTTTTGAGAATCACCATCGGCTACTGTTTGTTCTTTTCTGGTTTGGTGTGGTTTGGTTTGGTTTGGTTTGGCATGGTTTGGTTTGGTGTGGTTTGGTTTGGTTTGGTTTGGTTTGGTTTGGTGTGGTTTGGTTTGGTTTGGTTTGGTGTGGTGTGGTGTGGTGTGGTGTGGTATGGTTTGGTTTGATTTGGTTTGGTTTGGTGTGGTGTGGTGTAGTTTGGCATGGTTTGGTTTGGTTTGGGCTTTTGAGACAGGATTTCATTCTGCGTCCAGTCTGGCCTTGACCTTCATTTCTTATGCTTGTATCTCCTGCGTGCTGGGATGGGAGGCGTGTGCTGCTTTCCTCAACTTTACCACTGGTTCTTAAGACAAAGCAGAAGTCTGAAAATCCTCCCCACAAGCTCCCTTGACTAGTAGAAAGGAAACATCCACCCTAGAAGCTGCAGAGAATCATTTACTGAGATTCTTGAAAAACAATCCATTGGACAGCTTTCACTCTGGACAAGATTGCAGTCCATGAATACTTAAATAGGTGCAGAATCCATCTCTCCAGGAGCGCAATGCGATTTTGAGTATGAGAAGCCGGGGGTGGGAGGGGGGTTCTCTGTGTGCTTTTAAATCCCCTGCAGTCAGTGATTCATTTAAAAGCCCCACACAGCACCTCCAGTGTTCTCTGTTAAGAGTCTTCATGGAGGTGACAGCACTGGAGTTTGCTCTTGGGAGGAAATAGCCATCATGATTGTTCTTGTTTCCTTAATAAAGCCAAGTGGGCGCAAGGGCACGTGCCAAAAATTCAGTCAATATTTCTCCCTTCTTCCCTACCAAATGAACTGAGCTGAGAAGGAGGAAACTCTGCCAGCTTTCCTCCAACAGACAGACTCCATAGCACAGATTTCATTCTAGGCCTGAAGTCTGTAGGTGAGAGACTGCCTTTAAAATTAGTCTGGTTCCCACTCCCCTTAGAGACCGGGACAGGGACAGAGAGCGACCTTAACAGGAAGACAGGCAGGGAAAGAAACAAGTCTCAGGAATGCAAGGAACTGCGTCTGGCAGTTTTATATGCACAAAAAGGTAACTCACATTCAGACTCCCAAACCCAGCTCTCCTCTCACCCAGGGGTTTACCTGGCAGTGGTCCTGGGTTTTCTCTGCCTTTCCGTGCGAGCACTCCCTAACTAACACAGATATCCCAGGGGCACGCTTTTCTTCCCCTGCAAATCCTTACTTGAGTATTTCTGCTCTTGGGAAGCTAGCTTAGGAATCGCTTGGCATGTTCACCATGGAAGAAAGGCATTCTAGAAGCAGGCTGGGTTTGCCGTTTGAGTAGCACGCTCTCAGCTGAAAAGGTACGTTTTCAATTTCGGAGACAGTTCACGCCCACATCCAGCAGGGGGCGCCAATGCAGAAGGCTTGCTTTCAAAGCTCGCAGTGCACTCGTGGGCAATTAGATTAGCACGCAGCTCGCCGTCATCTAGGACAGTCTGGCTGCCTTCTGTCTTTCCATCCATTTAAAAGGCTTCCAGTGAGTGAGTGAGTGATTGCCTCTGCCGGTGTGTGTGTGTGTGGTGGGGGGCGGGCGACAGGCACGGGAGGGGAGGGGGCGCGCATTCAACAGGGAGTCACGAAGTG